TAAATAAATAAATAAATAAATAAATAAATAAATAAATAAATAAATAAATAAATAAATAAATAAATAAATAAATGTCAGGACTAATGGTTCTTTACCCTCCTCATTTTACAAGCCTGTAAAATAACCTCCTTTCATTTGAAATTCTGAAATAGGAGAGTACACATCCTAAACACATTCAATTTTTTTTGTAATTAATGAGCTAGTTTGCTCATAAAGGCTAAGAACATGTAAGATCACCTTGTGCTACATTAAAAAACAAATGCTTCCCCCAATTATGAATGTAAAAGTGGAAAATGAAGAGAAGAATTTTCTATTGTGATATAATTTTGCCATTACTTGTTGATTCTTGAGAGGAAGACAGCCCATCCAACCCCATTTATTGTAACTGTGAGATACAACTGGAGATTGGAACTCATATAGAATTTTATAATTATGAACCTGTAGTCCTTGATTTCAAAACCAAGGAGAAGCAAGGGTCACAATTTACCTTGGCCATTTTTTTCTATAACAGAACCATGTATTCTTAGGGTACTGCCACTAAACCCAGTAGCGTACAGGTGATAGCAACTGCATGTGCATTTAAACTTCCAGGAACTTATTGTCTTACAAAAATCCTCAGATGAGACACATTGGTACAGTTTAGATGGGTCCCAGTCAGTATGATCAGGGATCATTAACCCATGCAAATCACATCAACTAAGAAAGCAAACTTGGGTGCAGAGGCAGAAAATATCTACTGACATATATTCTCACAGTAGAATTTCAGAAACACTAGAAAGATAGCCAACTCCCTCCTTGCTCCACCTTCCTGAAGCAACAGTACAATCCAGAGTAGAAGATATTTTAACCAGTCACAGCCTGCTGTTCCATCATCAATACAAGCAGTATAGGTATACTTTATTACGGTCAAAGACCAGTAAAACCAAATCAGTATAAAACAGATACATATAATTTTTGTTTAGGGTAATAAAATTCCATTAAAACATGATAAAACATAAAAGTATAGACTCCAGTGGCAATTAGTATCAGAACACATAATTAGTTTTTTTTCATTACTACCACTTCATGGGATTTCTTTTCCATATGACTCTGAATGAAATAATCAATAAATTTCAAAACATCAAATCAGAAAACAGACAGTAAATAGATTCTTTACTCCAAGATATTTTATGTAATGGCATGACCTTTAATAAAACGAAGTGTGTGTTTTTTTAGCTTTTAGCTGCAGTTACTTTTTTTAACCAGATCAAAATTAAAAATTAAAAAATAATCAGTAAAATATGATATAAACATTATTTTCCATTATGCTACATTACAGGGCAATATTTTCTCCTACACAAATATGTTGATTTCCTGTGTTTAAATTTTATTTACTTATTCAGTACAAAATGTGAGAAGATGGGTCTTTTTCTCACTGCCGTACTATAAATTGTCCTGGCCCCATCTTATAGAAACCATGTCAGTAAACTTTAAAAAACAAGCAAACCAAGAACTTGTATTTAAATGTTACGTCCTATTACTTTGCTTTCACTAGAATTAAAAAATTCACAACTAAAGATGCTATTCATTTTTACTTGGCTCCCTGAGCTTATTGTTTAAGTGTTGCCTTCTTGAAAAGCCATCCTCAGTTTTTAAATCAGAAGGTTGTGATGGGCATAACAAAAATCCTTTTTGAATACAGGTTCTATACTTGCTCCAAATATACTTGAAAAAAGTGCTTGAAGGAAACTTCATAGACAAATGCAGGTATTTGACTGATGTTGTCATCACCAGCTAATATCCAGTCCTATACATGTACAAATGTAGAAACAGCTCCTTAGAGGACAGCTTTGTTCAAGCTGGGAATGAGTTGCAAAATACCTTTAAAAGAAGTTGGAGAAATTGAGAGGAAAATAACCACCACTGGAACAAAACCCAAACACAAGTGGAATACAGTTACAGCAGACCAAAGCAAAATACAGAGCTGACACAGTGCATACAAGAGTTCCTCACCTTATCAAAACTGAGCCATTATTTACATTCCCCACTAGTCTTGTGGAGGTTATAAGAGCAAAGCTTTCAGCTAAAAGCAAATCCATGTTTCTCTTACAGGCATGGGGACCAAGACATGAAAAACTAGGTTATAGAGGAAAGAAGGCTTCCAAAAAAACTTTAGAAAATTCTTTATAGTTGATCGGCTGGACCAAATCTGTTGTTTCAAAATTGTGAGGATCCACCCAGGTTGTGTAGCTCCACAGAAAGCATTTTTGGAATAGACAGCTAATCTCCATGTTGTGTCCGTATGCCGAAGTCTTGGTGTTGCTTTGTCAAGTCATGTGGAGTGTAATAACCCTATAGAAGGCTCAATAGATCACCTCATAGACCGTGGCCTTCTTGTCACCAGAGCCTGTTACAATGTGTTCGTCATCTGCTGAGATGTCACAGCTTAAAACGGAGGAAGATTCTTTGGACTTGAGGGATATAATGAAAACAAAATCTAATATTATTTTTATTAATACGAGCAATTCAAGCATGTCTAGTAAAATATATCAATGCTATAAGAGACTGCAGTTCTAAAATGATCATGTAATAGAAACCTGGAAGAGCATTACCATATTTTTCTGTGCATAAGAGGACTGATGTATGACGACCCCCACTTTTCCAACTCCAAATAAGAAATATGGGGTTGTTTACGTTCCTACTTTGGGCAAAGCAGCCATAAAAGGGCTGCATGATCAAAGGGCTGTGATTGTGCAGCCCTTTGATCCCCCTTACTTCCGTGTATAAGACGGCCCTCAATTTTTACTCTATTTTAATTAAAAAATCATCTTATACATGGAAAAATATGGTAGTTAAGCAAGCTGCCTATTGCTATTGTGAAGGTTCCACACCAGCCACCACTTTCGCAGTCTTGTAGGCTTTATCACTTCTAGCGCTTGTCAGAAGATGAGGAAACTGGGACTCTTCTCTCAGTATTAGTGAACAGGAGGGCACCAATATAGAGAGCTGGCAGCAGGATTCCGTATTCCGTAAGCCAACTAAAAAAAGGGTGTCCAAACAAAAAATTATAACTATGAACTGGATCTCCGATCAGCATTACAATTGGCTCAGATGTAGCAGAACATCTGCCTTCACTCTGTGCCAAATCTGGGGACGTTTAGGCAAAGGGTTTTTGAGTTATGATTTTTTAAAAAATAAAAAATATTGTTTTACCCTCCCGTGCTGAAGAAAGTGACATTGAACTAGGTAGATTTAAAACAGATCAAATACACTGAAAAGACCAAATCTGCATACCTTGAAAGGGAATGGTCAGCCCAAGCCACTTTTATTTTAAATTTGGAAGGAATTCAGCTATTCATCTCTAATAAACATTTTGAAAGTAGCAATTTTAAAGCAGAAAAGTTGTGTGTTTCTTATAAATTGCCAGCATAAAAGTGAACATTCCTGCCACTCAGAACCCCATTCAATAATTGTGAAAGAAAATATTTAACTCCTTACTGTGAAAATATTTAAATATTTAACTCCTAATTGTGAAAATGTTTCAAAAGGTATTTTTAAAACTAGAGAATAATATTCACAAGCTCATTTCTCTCAGATCTTATTAGGGATCGGGATTATTATATGCGAGGGTGGACAGGCGTGAGTTACTAATTTCCAAAATGTCCTATCATTACAGCCCTGCTCAGATCTTAAAAACCAACAACATCTCAAGTTAGGTTGTTCTCTCTTCTTCCATCCCTAGTAAAACTGTATTTTCCATTAACCTCTGCTCAGATCTTCCAAACTAATAACTGTGGTTTCCTTTACTGTCAATTCATCTCATATTAGATATTCCTGTTTGTCTCTTGGTTATTTTCTAAGCAATGTAGTCTATTCTGGTCATTTCTGTATTTTCATTGTATGTTAGTAGAATAGGCTCAAGTTACTCATTTTTGCATGAGTTCAGGCTTGACATTGAGTACACTTTCCTACTTCTCTGGCTGTCTTTAGTATCCGTACCAACATCACATATAAAATGATTTTTGTCCCTCTCTTTCTTCATATGGATAATTTTGACCTTGGTTTCCAGTAACATTCTTTGCTCACTCCAACCTCTTCCTTTTTTAATTTCAAAAAGCAAAGGGACATATTTTGGAATATATGCGCACATGTCCGTAGAGCTTTTGGTTAAACATAGTTTTCCTTCCTCAGCTTGCCTAACTCAAAGAAAGGGTTTGGAAACTGGAATATAGCTTTCCAGTCTGAATTTGGTGGAGCAGGCATGGCAACATTATTTTAACTGTGAAGTTAAAAGATGTGTATGATTCTCCAATGCATGTGTTGTACCTTCTCACACCTTTGCTTCACTATTTCATTAAGACCAAAAAGCCATTCACAATATTTTTGTACAGAGATATTACAGCCACATTGAAGCTGTTCTTGCTTCCGTCTTCTCCCAGTAACCATAGTATGGATCACATGCTAATCTTCTGGAATCCTCTACCACTGGGTAATTTTATATGAGAGAAATTTCTGATTGAAATTGTATGCAGCATATTTAAACTCTATAAGATACCCTCTTCTACTCACTGCCATTCACACTTGTTGAAAAACAGCCCTGACAATTGCTTTGCATTTGTGTAAGAAGTGGTTAATTGATGAGAAAAGCAGTCTGCTTCTGGAATTTTCGCTTGTGTAGTATCACTTTGTGAGTGGTAGCAAGCAAGGGCATCCTATAGAGACCATTCTGGTGCTGGTGAGGGGGGTGGGGGCACTGCCACACAGACAACTTATGACAAATGCACATGAAGTACAAGTGGGTTTTCTTTTGCACATGAATCTAAGACATGAACTGCTGAGAACTTTTCACTGCATGGAATTGGAGTACAAGACAAAAAGAGGGCTCTTACCTGGAATATACTTGCTCCATAGGGAGTCCTCCAGGCATTGAGAAGGTTATCTTTCCCAGTGCTCACAAACCACTTCCCTAGAGGCATAAAGCAGGAGTTTCTTGTAACTGAAAATATGTCCAGAATAGTGACAGAAGCTAATACTGTTCTACTGTATAGGAAACTCAAAGAATGTTCAAAGCCCTAAATATTATTAAACCTGTGTCAATGCAAGAATGATAGTCCCCAGAAACAATATAAGAGCAGTTCCGCTTGATCAGAGCTTTTTGGGATATTCTATTACTCCTCCTAATTTCATCCAGGATCTTTCTGGAAAAAGATTTAGGCACAAATAGGCATTCTCATCTTCACATGGGGAGCTACAGTATATTTGTACAGGATACTATAAATTTACATTGTGAAAGTAGTATTATTCAGCAGCTGCCTGACAGTGTCAGAATATCTAAACCACTCCTCTTCATGACTGGCATTATCTCTAAGAGAGAGGAGGAACTCTCTCAAGCCCTGCTCCTTAGAAGTTTTCACACTGTGGAGATGCCATGGGGTGAGGGCAGGACTTGCCATGAATTGATTTAATTACCAACCTATAATGGATTCTCCCCAAGCAAGTACCAACCAGGTTCTATTTAACACTCCTAGCAACTTACCACAATAGGCAAACTTCAGCGACAGCACACAGCTCTCATGAAGGTGAAGCTGGTATTTATCAGGTTTAGTGTGGTGCAATACCTCTACATTGTTGCTCCCCATGCCCACAGCAAGCCATTTGCCTGTTGGGCAGTAACCCAGGGAAAATATCTATTTTTTAAAAAAGGAAGTGGAATCAAAATGAGGCATTTTCAGAAAGCAGCTTGCAAGGTCTCCATTCCCCACCTCCACTTAGAAATGAGCAACTGCAGAGAGAGAGAGAGATAAGTTTAAAATGACACTGTTGCATAAATAGAAAAATAGTACAAATAGCAGGAAGAGAAATACAGTTCTACCCCAGGGGACCTACAGGATTGAAGGTCAACTGATGTTTTTTCTCCAGTAGCAAGGAGTTAGTTTTCCTGGTGGATGATTCTAGCATAGCCCAACTGAAAGTAGGAAACTCTTCTGGAAACTGAATGGAGAAAGGAAGTCTCCAGACTTGCCTGCATTCTAGAAGAGTCTTCCTGGTAATCTGCTGGCTGTGTATGATGGCAATATTGGCATAGCAAAGCACAACAGCATTAAACAACTATTGAAAATCTTCATAATCCCACTAAATGGAATTGTTTGGATGGTCTGAATTCCTGCTGCACTGGACTACTTAGAATGCAGCCACCTTGGATCCTCCTGAGGAGAAAGGCCTTGTATACATGTTTTAAATAAACAAAACAATAAAATAAATCAGCATTGGTGTAACAGGTAGCCATCACCTCACCTGTCCATCACAGCTGGGCAGTGAATCATCAGCCAATGGTGTGACGGAGGGTGGAACTGAAGGAGAGGAGCTGGTATAAAAAGGGGGGTGGAAGAGTGTGTAGGGAGATTGATTGAGTGAGAGAGTTGTAAGCAAACACGGGTTCGAAAACACGCGTGTAAGCTTGGACAGAGAGCAATCAGGAGTTTGCACATGCTAAAATGGGCTGAAGAGTCCTAATTCAGCTAGCCATGATACAACACTCCTTCTCGCAGGTCTGCCCACATAAGAACACCCTGGTACTCTCAGATATTATTGTGAAAAGGTCAAGTGGGCTTTGTAGTCCTTGGACTTAACTTGCACCACTGACAGGACTCTAAGTAAGCTAGGCCGAGGCAGCACTCTCAGATGACCCTATGACAAGTGTACTGTTCAGGAAACCAAATGAGTTTTATAATCTTTATTTTATTAAAGAAAAAGCATGTTACTAAGCCAAATTAAACCAA